ACCGTGAGATTCTGTATCGTTTCCTCAGGAGCAGCGAAAACAAGTCACACTGCAACGTATTAAACGGACAATAAAACGTGCGCTTTCACAAATTCACGCCTCGCCATTTACTGCCCCGCTGCCTTGCGTTTGACGCACAGCTAAGATCCTCCTTCTGTTTTGGAAGCTCTGGGTTTTCAGAAGCAGTGCTGAAGAAGTATAACGAGCCCGTGACGCATAATTCCAACTCCAGTTTCCAGGTTAACGAGAGAAAACTGGAAACTCGTCAGTTTGGGCATCTCCATTTTGAAGTTTCTGTTCTCTGGAGAAGATTTGTGATTTGTGTATTTCTAAGTCAGGTTCTGATCGTTGCTTGAGAGCAGCGTCACCTCTTCTGACTCACTGAACCTTTACTTACTGCAGTGAGGAACTTTCCTAATGCCTGACATCATTACAGTGGGTCCCATAAATCCAGCATCATAGGGTTAATGTATATCTTTATAAGTTTACAGACTGTGATGTATCTGAGCAAGGAAGAACGAATCCAAATAATTCTGCTCACAGGAAATCAAAAAGTAGAGAGAGAGAGAGCAAAGGTCTGTAATAAGTCTTTGTTTTGCTGTTTTTAAAAAATTTCTCCTGTAATGCTGGACCTGTAGGAGCCTGTAGACAATTCAGTTTTATTTCTATAGCGTGTTTAACAGTGGACATCATCACAAAGCAGCTTTACTGAAATCCGGATGTAGGTTTAGATCCCTAACGCACAAGCTGGAGGTGACAGTGCTGAGGAAAAATTCCCCGAGAGAACGTGAGGAAGAACCCTCGAGAGGAACCAGACTGAGGATGGAACCTCTACTTCACTGTGTTTTACTGAATTTAACCAGATGATTAGTAGAGATGCAGCTGCACTGTTTTTTTTTTCTGATAATCTGTTTCATTATTCACGCATGTGCACGTTGGAAAGCCGAGACTGCGGTTTATGCGAATGTTTCTTTGTCTTTGTCTTTGTGTTTGTGTGATATTGTCTCACAACAGAAAAACATAACAAAGTTAATCCGATATCGCTGAACGTCTTTAGAAAAGCTCGCCGAAAAGTCCAAAACAATTGTTTAGTTAAAGCAATTTTATTGGAGTTGTTTTGGCATTCCCACATTCCTAACATGAGCATTCCTGATTCCAGACGGCGTTTTGACTCTAGAAACTAAACGATTGTCAGTTGAAATCCAGCTCTTTTATGGTGAAAGAGCGTTGAAGGGTTTGAGATTAGACAGACGTGTTGGTGGTGTGTGTAACCTTCTGTGTCTCAGGATGGTTGTTGGATGTGACGTACACAGTGATAGATGAAGTTAATCATGTTTAAAAAGTTCTCTGCGTTGATGAAATTTGTGACAGATGTGTCTGCAGAGATGATTTGGCTCGGCTCTGCTGCGCTACGCTCACCGTCCCTGAGCCGCTTTGCCTGTTTTGTTTTTTTGTGTCCGTGCCTGGTCTTTGTCTCGTTTTTGGCTGTTGTGTCGTCTTTTTTTTGTGCATTTCCCTCCACAAGAGGCCCTGTGAAGCAATAGCGGCTTTCTCTCCGTTGGTGCTTGGTTGCAAAAATGTAAAGCTCTGCATTTTTTCAGTGGCTCGTGTATTGTCCTCTCGGCTGTGGAACGCCAGACCTGTGAATAAAGAGCGGGGTTTTGTGGGAAATGAAAGACAGATGAGCATCTGCTGTCTGACTGAGGCTCCAGTCCACGAACAAAAACTCTGAGTGAAAAAGATTTTTACGTTCTGTGCTGTTCACTGCAGACACCTCAGACTAGAAGTGTTTTATACCTGAAGGGTTACAAGGTGATCGAAATACTTTCTTCTTTTTGGTGTCTGAGCTGTATCAGTATATCAGTATATCAGTATATCAGTATATCAGCTGTATCCTGTTTATTTGTGAGTTTATTTATTTGTTATTTCCGTATCTCACTGTAAAAGCAGCAGGTATTATGAAGCTTGAAGCTTGATTTGATGAACAAACCAGAAAAGTGAAAGATCTGAAAGATAAGGAGGGGTGGAAGAAAAAAAAAAGGGAGGGAGTAAGGAAGGAAATAATGACAGAAGGAAAGCTGGAAGGAGGGAAGGAAGGAAATGAGGGTGGAAGGAGAAAGGACAGAAAGACATAATGAAAGAAGGGACAGTTAAAGAAAGAAGAATGTAAGGAAGGACAGAAGGAAGGTATATCAGGGGACGGAATGAATAAAGGAAGCAAACTGGTCAAAAAAAAAGGTAGGATGAAAGGAAGGAAGGAAGCTAGAAAGGAAGGAAGGAAGCTAGGAAGGAGGGAAGGAAGCTAGGAAGGAAGCTGTAAGGAAAGATGGAGGTAAGGGGGTATAAAGAATGAACGAAGGATTGAAGGTGTAAGGAAAGACAGAAAGAAGGGTGGAAGGAAGGAAAAAGGGGTCTAAGGAATGAAGGCAGGAATTTGGATTTAAGGAAAGACAGATGGAAGGGAGGAAGAAATGAAGGAAGGATAAAAGTACTAAAGGATGGAAGGAAGCAGATGTAAAGAATGAAGGAGGATGGAAGGAAGGAAGGAAGGAAGTGTTTGTAATGAAGAAAGGAAGTTCTCATGGTCTTGTTTTTCCTTCCTTTTGGTTTAGGCTGGCGCATGTGCTGCATTTTGATGAACAAACCAGGAGAGTGAAGGACGCTAACATGCAGGACGAAGACACGTTTGAGATCTACGACCCGCGCAACCCCGTCAACAAACGCAGACGAGAGGAGAGCAAGAAGCTGCTGAAGGAGAAGAAGGCCAAGAGGTGATCTCCTTATCATCACCTCGTTCCTCTCACGCTGTATATATTCTGTTTCTGTTCAGGATGCACTTCACTCTCGAGCTCGCTTAACATCACAAACATGTCTTTGGGTAAGAGAGAAAATAAAGGACACGTTGTGAGAAAATATGAAATCGGATCTTCTCAAAATGAGAACTGGAGTCATGTCCATTTAATAAAGGATTGCTTTTTTCTAAAACTGTATGTTGTGATGTTTTAAAAGATGTCACTGTTTGTGTTTATTCTTAATCTCACTTCGAACCCAAACCTTTACCGGGAGATGTACGAGAGTAGTACATGTTAGAACAAATGCACTTGGAGAGCGAATTAGTCCTGGATGATCTGAAGAACGTGGAGGAGAACTGAGTTTCTGTAGGATTTCACAGAGCTCGATAAAACAGCAGCGTTTCTCCTCTTCCTCCTCCGTCACACTGCACACTGCTGCTTCATGAAAATATCCTGAGATCTTCAGTGAAAGAGAGAGCGGTATTAAAGCTGGACCTGCTCCCTCACCATCTGCCTCGAACCTGAAAAACGAAACCAGATGAGTCTCCGAGCTCGACCTGACTGGCCTCAGATGATGTAAGAGGGCCGTCTGGTGAAATTGGACAGATATGTGGAGTTCACTTCGTGCCATCCTGCAGCCGAGTGCGGAATAATCTTCCTGCTGGATGGAACAGATAAAAAGCTGCCTGCTTCTTTGCAGCTTGCAGGAAAAAATTAGCAGAAAACAGTGGTGAGGGTCTAAAACATCGCCGTCGCTTTTAATCAGCCTGCGACTTTGTTCTGAGGAGAGGAGCCTCGCGGGCCTGCTGATGATGCCGTCTGACTGTGGTTTCGATTAAATGATCTACCACGAGTACGTGTGACCAGGAGCGCGGTTTGGCCAGCACGCCGCCTTTTACTGCTCCCCCGAGATCACGCTTAAATTTTCATATGGAACAGGAAGGAGAGTTAATGTTACACTAAGAGAGCCGCTCACTCAGAGCTGCTGCAAATTCAAACCAGGTGAGATGAAGCCGAAGCTCTGAAGCTCTGAAGCTCTGAAGCTCTGAAGCCAGTTCAGCTACCGCTCCCTCAGTCCCTCGCGCCCTCGCTCCCTCGCTCCCTCGCTCCATTCCGCCAGTCACAGGGGGCCTATTGGAGAACCCTGAGGGTCCTCAGCTTTCAGCATGTTATTACCGAGTTACGTAGCTGCAGAAGTTACTCAAACGTAACGTGAATATGGACTCCTCTGACGTCTGAGTCACAGCGAGTGCTCTGACCTATTTCAGGCGTCTCCCCTCACCTGTCTGGTTTGTCCCAAATGATGACTTATGATGACATAATGAGCGTCTAACGTTACCTCCAAGTACCACTGGCATCTATTGCTTCAATTTCACAGACCATTACACATGTGCTTCCCGTATTTTCTGCTGAATTAGGCTGTTGCTTTACTATGACGATTTCTACTGCAGTTGGGTTTACTGTACGTTTTGATTAAACTGATATCTGAATCGTGTGAACGCTTGTCGTTGTTTGTTTAGAACAAATCAGTCATCAGGTTTACAAGGACTCAGAGCTCCATAAAAAGTAAGTGTTCACTTACAGAAGAACCATGCAAAGAAAATCACTGTAGAGCATGCTGAGAGGGTCTAACGGTTATTTAGTTAATAACCAGATAATCAAGTGCTGCAAAACAGGAAACAGGAGTTTGTATGAAATTGCAATTAAACACATTGACTCATGTTGGAAAGGAGGACAGCTGCAGGGGGAAGAGTGTGTGTGGGCCATGATTTTATAAAAATTATGATGATAATCAGGAGTGGACAAATCAGTGTTCCAGGCACCCGAGCAGATTTTATATCTGGGCTATTAGTTTTTATTCATAGTTGCCTGACACACAGTCACAAGTAGCTTTAACAACCAAAAAAAAAAAAAGACAAAAACTATTCCTCATTAAATTCCATCCATCCATTTTCTGTACTGCTTTTCCTACACAGGGAGCCTGGAGCCTGTCCCAGGGAACTTGGGGCACAAGGCAGGGTGGCAACCCATCGCAGGGCACAATCACACACACACACTCCTTCATACACTAATGGACAATTTAGAGATGCCAGTCAGCCTACAACACACATCTTTGGGCTGAGGGAGGAAACCCCTGACACACAGGGAGAGCACGCAAGCTCAGCACACACACACACACACACACACACACACACACACACACACACACGGCAGAGGAGGGATTTGAACCCCTAACCCTGTAGGTGTGAGGCAAACATGCTAACCACTAAGCCACTGTGCCCCCCTATTAATGTCCACAAAAATGTAAAAAATAGTTGTTATTTGATAAGTAGGCTGTGTTTAAACATATGTCTCAATTGAGATCATTCACCCTGTTGCTTGACCTAAATACTGGCTTGTCATTAATTTTTTTTTAACTTCAGTACTTGGCTTGATCAGCACAAATCATATTTCATAAGTGCTCTAGGTAAACTTGTTGACTTTGGTCTGTTCGGAAGCCATGATGTTTTAGATCTTACTATCCATCATTACCATCATGTAACCTGACAGGAGATGAAATGGATCAGTAATGGTATTATCTCCCTCTCTGACCGCTATCATCCCCTGTCCTTGTAAACCAAGAGGAGAAATAGCTGACTAATCCTCCTTTCAATTAGTAGAGCACAAGCGAGGTAATGTCGCCTCTCAGTCTGAAGCTGAATCTGAATCTCAGCCCGAATATCCGAGTCTGCACTCTGGACCAATTCTGGGCTCATTGAGGGGTGAAGCTCTTAATCGCAGGTTTGTGTTCACATACAGAAGAATTCCTTCAGAACTGTGAATCAGCTGCACAATTCCATACGTTACTTTTGTCCACACAGGTTAGGTTCATGTGTTTGCTGGTTTTTATTCTTGTGATAAAAATGCTCAAGTGGTGAAGAACCATGCCTTTTGGATGCATGACATCACAGAAGAAGATTTTTAGCCATGCAGGTCAGCACCACAAAGGTGAGCTACTTGCAGTAACATTGCTCCAGTCCTGTGAAGGTTCAGTTTTATATATCAAATACAACAAATTGTGATTTATCATGATGTGTTTGATGCTGCACTGATTTCTTCCGTCTGTAATAAAGCAGCAGCGGTGGATCTGGAGTACTGAGGATTAGGAGGAGGAAGAGGAGGAGGATGTGGATTAGGAGGTGTGGAAGATGTTGGAGGACATGTTGAATGAAGTGCATCACTGACCTCCAACCTCACGCTATGAAAAACTTCACTCATCACACACCTCTCTGCATGTGTGACGCTCAACACAGACGTGCTGCTATAGATCCCTACTCTGTCTCTGTCTGTTAACATGTAAAAAAAAAAAAAATCAGAGAGGAAGTGAGAGAGAGAGAAAGGTCTAAGAAAAACACACAGCTCCTTGTCGCTCTGCGGTGGAGTAAAGATGAGCAAATGCAGTCAGTCATCGTCGCTGACAGTAATTATGTCTCACCCAGTCGTCCGCAGTCTCGTGAGCGCTCCACGTCCAAACCCGAGCCGGGAGTCTGATAACGATCACGATGAGAGCGCTCTTAATCATGTGTTGTATGACATTACTGAGGCACATCTGCTTCGGACGGATGATTTCATCGCTCAAACGTAAGAGCGCTTGACATGAAGCTCGTGTAGTAATTCCACCACAGACCGCACAGCTGTAATGTGTGCTGGATCTGCACCATGATGGACGTGAAATTAGAAAAAAACTCAGACTGGTGATCAGTACTCAAGTCTGGAAAAGTCACTGTAACCTGCACAATCAGGATTCACGTAAGAAATAAAGTGCTTCAGGATATGCGGTGTGTTATTCCTCTTATACTAACTTATAGCAGTCCAGAATTCAACAGCACTGGAA